CGTCGCATTGGCCCCGTGTGGAACCCATTCTGTGGGCCCCAAACAATATGCTTGGGACGGTAGAGGACTTCCCACCCACGAATCTGACCCCAACCCAAGCCTCCAGCAATCAAAGGAGGAGGAAGCCCTTCCCATTTGTCCGTATCGAATTGGTCCCATGTGGGACCCATTCTGTGGGCCCGAAATGATGTGCCCGGGACAGTAGAGGACTCCCACGAATCTGACCCCAACCAGCCTCCAGTAACCAAAGGACGAGGGAGCACTTCCCATTGGTCGGTATCACATTGGTCCAATGTGGGACCCATTCTGTGGGCCCGAAGTGATATATGCCTGGGACGGTAGAGGACCCGCACCCACGAATCTCCGGCGCGGGCTGTCTTCGCCGAGCCACCAGAGGAGGAGGGAGGAGTCCTTCCCATTGGTCCGTACCACATGAGCTGTCGTGAAACTGTCGGTCGCCCGTGGTTTGTTCCTGCGGAAGCCCCGACAGCTTGGGTGTGCAAAAGCGATGAGAACTTTGAGGCACGAAGCAAAGACTATACTTTACCTGACTATTTGTCAATGGTCGATACATTACCATACCGGAACGAAAGCTTAATCCGATGCGAAGCAACGAAATCAAACACATCAAACGAAGTTTAAAGCACAGGGAATACATGCGTAGATTTTTACTGAGCAGATGGAGGGATGTGGGGACAAACTCGCTCTGGCTCTCCTTTGGTAAACAAGTTCGTCAGTTCGGCTCTTTTCCACCCCAAAGTCAACAGTGTGCCTGCAGGCAATCGAAGATGGGCATAATGTTCCATCTGATTTCATCAGTGTTTATATTTTTTAGACAATCTTGATCTTGTTAATCTGAGTTTAATGTTATCCTTACCCAATGTGAAGGGCACGATGTACAGTAGTGCTGGTTGACCATGCCCATCCATCAGATTCAAGGCAACATATGTAATCAGGAGACCTGCAAGGCATCATCATCATCACTGAATTGACAGCACAGCAGGAGAATCCAGCTTGGTTGGTTTTATGCCACAAAAGTTAAGATATAGGAGTTCTAAGCAATTAAAAGCATGTCTTTTGAATTCAAAGATAAGGAAGAAGTGGTTGTGCTTTAATAGACTATAGAAAGCAGGATCACACTGCTTAATATGTGCATTTGGCTTATCCTTATAGTTTATTGAATCCAGTCTGGCAAAGTGATGTGTTGGACAAGCATCATACCTGAACCATAAGCCACCATTGACCAGAGAAAGTAACCGGCTTGAAGGTTCTTCCTTGCAGCCCAATCGTACCTGATAACATTTTCAGGAAAAGATAAATTATCGATTTATCAAGAGTAAAAACATGGATTTCGTAAGGAGGATGTGAGGACCGACCTTAATGAAAAGGCAATTAACAGCCCAGGAAGGAGGATATCGCCAAAACCTATAATGCTGTATCCACCCCAGGGATCAAACATGCGTGGGATCTTAAGAAGCATAGGAACACCATCCTCTGCGGTCCTATCCCCTCGAGCGACCTATGAAGAAAACATGAGAAAATTAGTCCTTTGTATTTCAGACTGAATCCAACAAAGTGATAATTATGTAATACATACCACAATCATTACGCTTTCATGAAACCACCTTTTTGATACAAAAACCCAAAAGATGTCGTACAGGAAGGCGCAACTAAGGAGAACCATGCCCACCTAATTAACATCAGAAGTTTAGAATGAAAATTTTGTGGCTTATGCAAGTAGATAACCAATGAAATTAGATGATATATGTGGAATTGCAACAACAAAGTAAATTTACAAACGAAATGTCTATGGAAAAGATAATGCAAGTACAATATAATACAATTTGTAAACAGATTTCTATTGCATTGACAATAAGGTATCATAAGTAAATTTCAGCAAATGTTAATATCACGATTGATAAATGGCGTTCTAGAAAACTAGATCATTTAATGATCACAATTATGCCAAATGAAATAATTTGATGAAATTATGCCCATCTTTTACATTGTTCACAGTAAAAGGTAGCACCTACTATGAAGCATGGAATGATTGTTTCATGTGATGTACGAGAGCACCACAAAGAAAGGTCAGTCAGTTGTAGAAGTGCAACAAAGATATTGAATTGACACTAAAAATGGATGATAAATGGCAGTTTATGAAAAGCATGATCCTTGATGGAGTGAAATGGTAAGAAATGATTTCTTCGCAGACTAAAGAATCAATTATATGCTCTGCTTCTGAGCCACTAATGACCACTGACTTCTTACTCGTGCATAAATAAAAAAAGCTGATTTACTGAGAGAAGCTGACGTTTTCTCTTGACTGTCAAATTTCAAAGAAAAAAAAAAGAGCAATGTCTTTTTTTGGATCCACAGACAACACATCCATAGACCTTCAAATACAAGGCTAATTCTGCACATGTTAGATATAAAACATTTCTTAGACCTGTTTAGCACCAGAAAAAGCCAAACATTAACATGGATATGGCAAAATTTTGTATTTAGTAATTGTACTGTAACTGCATCATATTAGCCTCTAAAGATGCAACCCCATGATGTAGCATGAAAAGATATGTGATATAACCCAGTACATATTATGAGAGAACAAGAGATTACTTCACTCTGACATAAAATTATACAGGACAAGATCATCACCGTAGCAAGTGCAACAGTGCCAATGCTGTCAAAAAGTCAACTTAGGTTTAAGCTGAATAGTTATCATGCTATACCACTTTCAGACCTAACAACGCCACAACAACCTAACAGATCATTTTAAATCCAATAGCTGTTCTGCCACCTAAAATCCAGAGAGCATGAGCACTAGTTATTACCCAATAAGTAACTTCTGAAAGAATATGATCTTCATTACAATTGGCGAAATATTTAAACAACATATCTTCTTCCACAATGCACACCAACAAGGTAGTAAGTTCTTGATAAATCTTGCACTGTCTAGTGATTTATACAAACATCAATATCCTTTAAGTTCAGATTGCACCAGAAAAACATTTAAACACTGAACTTTTACTTATTAGTTGATGCTTCAAATACTGTCTTGCAGCCAAGTCCATCAAAGTCACCTTTCAAAGCGCATTTCTAGTATAAGCATTATTCAACTCATCTCATCAACTCTAAACTACTGCAGCTACTTAGGCACATACTGTTTTGTCGTATTACCATTTTTTCCATCTCACCTTTTCATTGAAGGCTTTGGTGGCAGAAGAGATCTGTCTAACACAGTCATGGCATATACAACTTTTATTCACCATATCGGGCACAGATAGCCACCGGCAGAATCCAAGAGCCTTGAATCTGATCAACCATAAGGTATCAACCGCCAATTTTACTTGTACAAACAGGAAAGTTTAGTTTCATTAACTTGGTTTCATTTTGATGTGGCTGCCTAGATGCAGAAAAGAATAATTACAATAAAATTTGAGAGCTGGTTCCAACAGTGGCAGGTGCACCTTGACAAAAGGTGGACCTATGTTTTAAATGTATCCTTTGTATCAAGCAAGAAGCTTATATCCAAAATTTCTAGTCAGTTATACAGAGATCGCATGATCATAGACAGAAAAAGTTATAATAAAACGACACAAGTTAAATCAATTTCTAGACTATTGATTATGGCCTTGGTATAAATCTTCC